AATCAGTATATATTACTTTATTTCAGTATATGTTACTTTATTACTTTATTTCAGAATATTACTTTATTACTTTATTTCCTGACGGAAAGGGTTATTTATATATTACTTTATTTTTGACTTCCAGAAGTCAGAAAATGACTTTTGAAGTAAAAATGAAGAACAATGTGCGAGAAAGGTCATGCATGCTCATGGAAACTATAAGGGGTCTGGGAAGTGACAGGGGGCTTGGGAAGGCTTCCTGGAGGAGATGGATCTTGTGCTGAGCCTTGAGAGTGGAAGAGGGCTAAGATAGGGCAGAGAGAACAAGAAGGGCATTTTACTGAAGCAAAAACAAATGAAAGTGCAAAGACGTGAGACAGAAAATCATGGGCAGTCACCCAACCTGACTAGTAGTGTCATTTACATGAAGAGAAGTGGAACACCCACTGGGCCTAAAAACTTGGGGCTGGATTGTTGGAAGTCTCCATTGTCAGCTTTAACTAAAGAGGAGTACAGGAGGTAATTACATCCTTTGAGCCACTGCCCACCCCTCTTACTGAGGCAGGAGACATTTAGGTTAAATTCAAGGCAAATAAAAAAACTGAAAAGATCCTGAGGGAAAAGGAAAGGAAAGGACCATAGGAAGTCTTCTGTGCGTTATTATATTATTCAAGTTGTCTTCACTATGACCCAAACACAGTTTAAGATGCATTGAATGCTGGCCTTTTATCATGGACACCATATCTGCCATGCACATTTTCACATCAACATCTTTGTTCGAATTAACTCTCCTGGACTTTAATGGGAGCCTATCATGGTGAGATGAAGTCCCTGCACCACCTCTGAAAAGCCCTCCCCACTTCTCCTACTGGTAATGCATGTCCCATCTTGGATCCTCACAGCACTCACTTGCCTTTCCTTGGTTGTTTACTGACTTGTGCCCTAAGTGCATTTTAAAGTAGTATTTTCCTTTGTTTTTAAGGAATTTAACATGCATTCTCAGATGGAATACAAACTTCTATGGTCAGGCCCTTTTATTGTGTTTTCTTTAACTCCAGTCCCAAACATCATGCTTCATAAAAAGCAACTGCTCAATAAAATAATAAACACTACTACTCAGGGAGTGCTTACCATGGGGCATGAGGCACTTTGGATCCATTCTTTCAGTCATTCATTCCACAAATCCATTTGCTGTCTGCTACGTACTAGGGAATGTTCTAGGCATTAGAGATACAGCAGTAAATGAAACAGAAGAAGAAGAAGAAGAAAAAAGGACCAAAATCCTTACTCTCAATTAGCTTAGACTTTAATGAGAGACAAAATCATTTTACTGATTATTTAAATAAGAAAAACAATGGAACCATTGATATGTTAGATAATGATAAATCCTAATGAGTAAGTAATAAGCAAGGAAGGGGCTAGGAATAGTGAGGGAAGAAGTTTGTATCTCAGAATCTCAGATAGCATGGCCAGAGGGACTTTCACTAAGAAGCTGACACTTAGGTAAATTTTCCAAAGGAAATAAGTAAAGTAGTCAAGAAGCAAGTAGTCTGAGGGAAAAGCATTCCGTGTATGAAGAAGAGCAAGAGCAAAGGCCGTGGGGTAGGAGCAGCACTGTTGTGACTGTGGAAACAGCAAGGAGGCCAGTGTGACTGGAGTAGAGTGATTTATCAGGAAAGACGGCAATGAGGTCAGAGGGATCTGATGAAGTCAAGCAGCAGTTCTCACCGTGGATGATTATGCCTCCCACTGGGACATTTGGCAATGTCTGGAGCTGGTTTTGATTGTCACAATTGGAGAAGAGGCACTATTGTAACCTATGGGTAGAGCCCTGGGATGGTGCTAAACATCCTACAATGCATAGGACAGCACCCCCAAAAAGGATGATCCAGTCAAAATTGTCAGTAGTACTGAGGTGGAGAGCACTGATCGTTAGGTCTTGTGACTAGGCTTTTTCTTTCTTTCTGTAAGACAGAAACTGTTGGAAGATTTTGAGACAAGAAGTGGTATGATCTGAGTTGTGTTTTAAATGGGTTACTCTGGCTTCCATGTTGAGAATATACTAAAGGTTAAGGGAAGAACCAGAGGATTATTTCAATCATCCAAGCAAGAGGTGATGATTACAAGGACAGACCAGAGTGGTGGTCCTAACAGTGATAGCAACTTGTCAGATTCACCACATATTTTTGCAGGTAGAGTCAATAGAATTTGTGGATAGATTATATGTGGGTGAAATGAAGAAGAGTCAGTATCACAAGATTTTTTCTGAGAAACTAGAAGAATGAATTTTCATTATGGGAGACGAGAAAGGCTACAGAAGAAGCACATTGTGGGGGAGAGGGTGGGTAGTAAGGAGTTCAGTTTATGGCATGTTAAACCTGAGATGTGTATTAGACACCAAAATGCTGCTGATGGGTAGACAATTGGACATAGGAATCTGAAGGTTAGGAGAAAAATCCAGGTTGGAAATATAAATTTAGGAGTCATCAGCATGTAGATGGTGTACAACGTCATAAGACTGGATGAGGGAAGTGCATATAAAAAAGGAAAGAAGACGGAACCCTGGGCACAGCAGGGAGAGGAGGAGAAACCAATAAAGGAGATTCAGAAGGAACAGTTGAAAGACTTTGGTGCTTTTGAAGCTGTCAGTCAGCTCAGACTGCCATAACAAAATACTATAAACTGGGTGGCTTAAACAACAGAAGTTTATTTTTCACAGTGCTGGAGGCTGGGAAGTTCAAGATCAAGATGTTGACTGATTTTGTTCCTGGTGATGGCTCTCCTCCTGGCTTGCAGACAACTCCCTACTTGCTGCCTCCTCACAAGGCCTTTCCCATGCTCTTACTCTCTTTCCTCCTATTTTATAAGGAAACTAATCCTATTAGGCCCTCACCTTTGTGACCTCATTTAACCTCATAATTACCTCCTAAAATGCCCATTTCAAATACCATCACATTGAGGATTAGATCTTCAACGTATGAATTTTGAGGGGGGACACAATTCAGTCCATAGCAGAAGTGAAAGGTATGTTCCAAAAAGGAAAGCTAAGTCCACTCTATTGAAAAGCTTCTAACTAGTCAAGTAACATGAGGACTGAAAACTACTATATCAATGTGGAGGTCGGTTTGTGACCTTCGATGAAAGATTTCCAGTGCAGAAGCCTTGTTGGAGCCAACCCAAAAGAGAATTCAAGGACCTGGATGGTAGCTAGGGGGAAGTGAAGTCAAGAGAAGATTATTTTTTAATGAGTGAAATCAAAGTATGTTTATGTATGGATAGGGATGGTCCACTGGAAGGACAAATTTTACTACAGGAAAAAGGGTAAAGCCTAGAGTAATATCCCTGAATAAGTGGAAAGGGATGGAATACAGTGGGCAAGTGGAGGTACTGACATCAGACAGATGCAAAATAGTATATTCCTAGCAGTATCAGAAGAAAATGTAGAGTCCTATATGTGAGCACAGATGCAAGTAGGTGAACAGATGGGTTGGTAGGAACTTCTCTTTTGATTGTTTTACATTTTTTCAGTAAAAATGAAGTAAAATTTTCATCTGTGAAAGATGATATTATTTGAGAGAGAGGAGTATTGGGGATTTAAGGAGAGACCAGAAAGTATGGATTAGTTACATAGGAGAGGGGAAAGTGAGTGGACTAGGGAAATATGATTATCCATGACGTTAGCCCCTTCCTCTTAAAGTAATGGTCATGAATGTAAAGTGAAACCTCTCAGCGTGGCTATGGGCTTTTCTTCAGCCACAGTCAGCTGAACAAATATAGGGAGAGAGTAGGATTATAGTTGGATGTAAATAGGAAAGCAACTTAGCCATAAGAGTCCAACAAGTGAAAAGTGCAGGAACATTGAGAGTATGCAAAGGAGTAATAGTGATTGACCAGACAGTCTAAGCTTGACAGAGAAGTGAAGATACAAGGGATGTGAGGGGCCACGATGAATTTGCAGACCTCTCACTGAGGAAGAAACTGAGGGGAGAGTATAGAAAGATAATCTATGAGGATACTGAATTCACCAAGAATCATCACAGTACTGGAGAGAGTGAGAGGGGATCAGGGATAAAAATCTTCAAGGACGAAGGAGGAGCACAGGGAACGAGAATGGTGACAGCCACAAGCGGGGAGGCGGGCTTTGGAGCAAAGCTGATGACACAACAGTCAAAGCTACATTCAAAACTGAGAATGACTTCAACAAATCTACAAAATTCCTGACAGAAACGTTTATTTTCCTTGTTTTACAGACGATGACACTGAGAATCACTGAAGTTAAACAATTAGCTTAAGGTCACTCCATCAGAGAACGAAATTCTAAACCAGTTCCAATTGAATAGTAGAAACGATAACGAGAGGGAATTGTGCTGCCTGTGGCCTTCATACACTGCCAGAGACACACTACCCTAAAGGGACTTTCCCTCCAGAATTTCCTCTTCCCCACTCTTGGGGACTCCTCTCCGGACACCTTCATGCAAAGTACTAATGATGGGAGTGGGACATCGATTCCCCAGAGCTCCATCCTCTCTTCTAAATAACAGGGAACGTTGATTCCCCTGTTTCTTCTCTAGTGAGAGCACTCATCAGCATGCTTCCTCCTTCTCTCTAACTGTGTCCTTTAGATCCAGGAGGGATTTTGCTACCACCACCAGCTAATGCTGATTTGCCACCAGCACAAGGCCCAGGTCCTTGTCTGGTCTGTACCCCATTACAAGGTTCTCCAGGAACAGACATCACCACCTCTGCCTAGATCCTGAAATTTCACAAACATAGGTTCTTTCTTACCCGTTCTTTTTATTCCTCTATTTACAAGCACGATGACACCCACCCCTTATCCTCTTCCTGAGATACCTGGCTCTGATCTCAGGCACCCATTCCAGAAATCAACATAGCCATGCAATTGTATCTTTTATTAAATCCTCCCAACTGCCATTTCAAATCCAGAGAATCCAGAGAAGGAGCAAGAGACCAACCTATCATCTGGAAGCTCAAGGTGTAAACATTAGTGCCAAAGATAAGTTATGAAGGTAAGTTGGGTATTACAGTGCCCTACAGCAAATTGTCTCGTGCCGAGAGATATTCTGAAATACTAAGTGAAGTTTGATGACACATTATATTATATATTTCACAACAGATTTGTCTTCTAGATGTGTGAGGGAGATGATGGGTTTATGTTTACAGGTGCACACATGCCTATGTTTTGGGGAATTTGTGCATACATGTAACAAGAATGTTATCTGTGCAATTTTATTATTGTGTGCCTGTTTTCATGGTGTGGCATATTTGAAGAGGAATGGTTTAGAGCTTGCCTGGCTAAACTGTTGAGTGTCTGTGTAATCACATTAAAGAATTTGACCTTTTGTAACTCAACATCTCTAGCCACCATAGGTCTGTAAGCCTGAATGTCACCTCTCCTATTTTATTCATCTCTGATATGACCCCAAATTATAAAATTATCTCTAAATATAGGTCAGACTTTGCATGCCTTTTGTACTCCACAGTCTCTAGCACAGTGGAGCCTGGTTGATCAAACAGGGAAGGACCTTGAAGTTAGTCAAATATAAGTGGAAAACCTATTAAGCATTTACAAATGATGTGGCTTTGGGCAAGTAATTTAACTTCAATTACTCTCCTAACACACTCTATAAAATAAGGCTATTGCCTAATTTTCAAGTGAGTAAAGATTAGAGTTAATAAATGAAAAGAGATGTAAATGTTCATAGCAGTTATATCATTGCCTAGCATAAGAACCCTTTAAAAACCTGTTTCTTAATTTGGGAAAAAGATAACGACAATAGTTAGCATTTATTAAAGGATGACAATAGTTAACAACTGCTATGTGCCAGGCATTGTTCTAACAGCTTTTCATATTTAGCCCACTTAACATATTTCTATTTTCATATGAGGAAACTGAGGCAGAGAGAGGCTAAGTAACATGCCCAAGGTTGTTCAGCTAGAAAATGGCAGAGCCAGGACTCAAACCCAGGCAGTCTGGCTGCTAAGCCCTGGTTCTTAATCACAACATTAATGCTTGTTCTGCCCAGTGAGGATAAATGAGTGAAACATACAATCAAACAGGATGCTTTGATAGGGAACAGTGTTTTTCCCCCTGAAAAATGAAATATTAGGTTACTGTGCTTTTGTAATTAAGAGAAGTGAATATGATGTGTAAAATAAGTTATCTACACAATCATTTATGTCAGGAGTCATGCAGCAGAAAGATTTCTATCCATCACATAAACTTTCATCCATCACATAAACCATATGTTTCTGTACCATTAAGATGCTTGGTTCAACAAGACCCTTGGGAGAATGAGGTTCCTTTTGTTCCCTGGGGTTCTCTTTTTATTTTTTATTTTTTTGATCAATATTTGATAGTAAAGTGAAGGAGTTCGGACAGGAAACTTAGATGTCATCTAGTTCAAACTCCTTGATTTACACATGAGAAAACTGAGACAGAGGGAAATGAAGATATCCCCATATCACATAACTGGCTAAAGGGAGTATGCTAGGTAAAACCAAGATGTCCTGACTTCTGGTCTACCAGAAAGTGTTCTTTTTTTCTACCCAACCGATTCCTGATTTAAAGGCTACTATGCATGTGCTGATCTCCCCTCAGTGGGAGGGGCATGGACGTTGGGAGTGGTCTCTATTCACAACAAATTAAAAATCGGTAATCAGCAGTATAATGGGTTGTGTTAGAAAGTAAACTAAGGCCCAGTAAAATATTTAAGAGTTTATTTGAGCAGTGATTACTGAATTGGGCAGCTCCAAGCCAGAAGTGACTAGGGAGCTCCACTGATCTCTCTGTGGAGAAGCTTTCTAGGACATGAGGAGGAGACTTTTTAGGACAAACAGGTAAAAGCAAAGATAATATTGTTTTAATTTAATTTAATGTAACTTAATTTAGGAGAGCTAAGTAATTAAACATGAGGCCAAAGTACGTGAGAAAGTGGCAGTCTTTTATTGCAAATATGTACACACTCTCGGGCGAGGTTCTCTGGTCCTCAGGTGTGGGGGGCCAGGGAAGTCGCTGGGGCGCTCTGGGGTGATGTTCTCCGGTCCACGAATGCGGGGGCCGAAGAAGTCAGGCGGGCTCCTGCCTGCAGCAGACTTTTATGCCTGGGAGCTGGAAGGGGAGGAGTTTGGGGTGTGTGTGTAGGAGTGGCTTCTTGAATTTCCGTGTCCCCAGCTTGACATCACTCTGCGCATGCTCAGTTGATTTGGTTCTTTTCCCGGGCACGGGAAAATCTGTGATGAAGAACCCGGAAACAACAGGGACTGCTCCATCTTGTTCACCTTCCTCCATCTTGTCCCTTCCTCCTTACCCAAACAAATATTTCATTGGTTACAGTTATACAGTTGCCTTATTTGGTCTATCCCATGAGGAAGTCCTAGTTATATAATTAAGTTTTTGTTGGCTGCTTCTGATTGGTTGAGCTTAAGTTCTATGTTTCTTTAATATAGGCATTTACAAGAAATGGCACAAATAAAGTTTCAGACATGCTTGCGAATCAAGCAAGGTTAATGTTACTTAGGAGGCCCAACTGGCTCTGCCAGCTCAAGGATTCTTCTGGCCTGGTCTCCATTTTACATGAACAGTTGCATAAATAAACACAGAGTACCTGAAACAACGGAGGTAATCATTCTGCCTACCGAATGTTGGCAAGGCCAATCTTGGAGTGTTGCTCTTATTCTTAGGGGGATTATTATTAAGTAATCTCATCTGTAAACGGGATTACAATCCACAAACTAACCTTGTATATGCTTCCATTCCTTCGCCCAACCCAGCCCCACACTCCAAGGTTTTTCCTTTGCTTATAAGGGGGGTAGTCACCCTTTTTTATTTCGACCTTCCAAACATTCTGGGAGTTTTCCTCCTTTAGGCCAACTACAGCACAGAGGAGCGCTTCCTCCTGCTGGGTTTCTCCGACTGGCCCTCCCTGCAGCCTGTCCTCTTCGCCCTTGTCCTCCTCTGCTACCTCCTGACTTTGACCGGCAACTCGGTGCTGGTGCTGCTGACGGTGCGCGACCCGCGCCTGCACACGCCTATGTACTACTTCCTCTGCCACCTGGCCTTGGTGGACGCGGGCTTCACCACGAGCGTGGTGCCGCCCCTGTTGGCCAATCTGCGCGGACCAGCGCTCTGGCTTCCGCGCAGCCACTGCATGGCCCAGCTGTGCGCATCGCTGGCTCTGGGTTCGGCCGAGTGCGTCCTCCTGGCGGTGATGGCGCTGGACCGCGCGGCCGCAGTGTGCCGCCCGCTGCGCTACGCTGGTCTCGCCTCCCCGCGCCTATGCCGCGCGCTGGCCAGCGCCTCCTGGCTAGGCGGCCTCACCAACTCCGTTGCGCAAACCGCGCTGCTGGCTGAGCGGCCGCTGTGGGGGCCCCGCCTGCTGGACCACTTCATCTGTGAGCTGCCGGCGTTGCTCAAGCTGGCCTGCGGAGGCGACGGAGACACCACCGAGAACCAGATGTTCGCCGCCCGCGTGGTCATCCTGCTGCTGCCGTCTGCTGTCATCCTGGCCTCCTATGGTGCCGTGGCCCGAGCTGTCTGTTGCATGCGGTCCAGCGGAGGCCGGAGGAGGGCGGTGGGCACTTGTGGGTCCCACCTGACAGCGGTCTGCCTGTTCTTTGGCTCGGCCATCTACACCTACTTGCAGCCCGTGCGGCGCTACAACCAGGCACGGGGCAAGTTCGTATCGCTCTTCTACACCGTGGTCACACCCGCTCTCAACCCGCTCATCTACACCCTCAGGAATAAGGAAGTGAAGGTGGCAGCGAGGAGGCTGCTGTGGAGTCTGAGGAGAGGCCAGGCTGTACAGTGAGTAGGTTGGGGAGGGGAGAAAGTATTAAGCCAGAACCCAAGGATGGAAATACCCATTAGTGAGTCAGTTTAGACTTCAAACTGTTCATTTTTTTATGATAATCTGCAAGATTTGTCCTAAGGAGTCCAATGGGGAAAATGTTTTCCTCCCGTATGGAAATGTTTAGTTCTTGAGGGAAAATTCCTAAATCCTCTATATACACAAGTTTAGGGAAGGAAAACCTACCCCTCACGACTCCACGTGCAGGTAAGATGATGGACGTGATGACTGCCTTTAGCTTCCTCCCTATCTGATGGAAGACCGTGGAAGACCTCTTGGTCTCTGCCATCAGAAGTCTCAAGTTGACAAGAAAATCATAGTCCCTACTCTGCAGGAGAGGGTCATCCGGAAAAAGAGGCCATGGACTCTCTTCTCGGAAACCAGTCCAACCTAGTGCAGACCTTGCCAGGGAAACAGTGCCCTCCCCAGGGCATTTCACCCATAAGTGTGATGAGGAAAGCCCGTAAGTGGTGGTGAATTTTGCTGAGGGGGGTTAAGATGGGAAACCCTCCTGCAGGAGTTGGTTCTTGAACAAGTTTTAAAGAAACAAGGAACTAGGACGAGTGTGGAAGAAGGCGGGCATGTCTCAGGCTGTGAAAAAAACTCACAGGTGATCAATAGTGAGACATGAGAGAGAGCGAGAGAGCAAGAGAGTCAGAAAGAGGAGTAAATGGAGGGAGGAAGATGGAGGAAGGTACTCAAGTTCTCAAGACAGGAACAAGGATCTACTCATGAAAAAAAAGCAGAAAGAAAAATGCTCAATCAGCAGAACCTGAGTAGAATATTGAGGTCAATCCAGAAGCCAGCTCCTCACCCACCCTCACCCAGACTGGCACCCTCATCATACAGAAGACCTGCTAGACCCTACGGCAGGTAGGAGAGAGGGTGGTCCACAGTCCCCCAGCTTCAGAAAGTTTGTTCTCTCCCAGTGTCCATCTACCCCTAGGAACCCCCACTAGTTACACACAATCACTAGATCCCTGTGGAAAATACCTTTCCTTGCCCACCATCATCCCCATAAATAATAACCATTTTAGTTGGGTGTGGGACATAGAGAGTGGGAGGGGGCATGGTGCCAGACTTCATTTCATACCAAATAGCCTTAAAGGAGAAGAGGGGGAAAGGAGCTCAATTTAGTTTCTAAAATGTTTAGTAATTTGATTATGATCATGTCAGAGCAACTAATTCATTTTAAAATAAATCATTTCACTATGCTCTGTAAGTAGAAATTCAATTTGATTCAACCATTATTGAGTGATATAAATAAAGCACTGGGCTTAACAAACACAGAAATTCAGAAATCAGTAGAACATGGATCCCAACCTAAAACTTACTCTCTTGTCAAAAAGGAAAGGAGATAGGAGTTTTTCCATAAATAACAAGGTCTCAAGAAAGAATTAAATTGCAAGCTGGCTTTGAATGCTCTATTTTGCCTCAAAATTTTATTTACTAGTCTCAGTAATACATTATTAAAAATCCTGCCACTGAATTAATTGTGTTAGAATCAAAGAAACAGAGTTGGACAATATTCTTCATCCTACCCATCCCACCCAAATCTTACTCTACTCATCTCATTCTCACGTTGATTAAGAGATTAAAAGAAATAAGCTTTTTGGCCCTTGCCAACACCCCATCCCCAGGGTGGTCACCCTGCAATACAATAAGATGTCAGGAAGAGTAAGTTGCCCTTTCTGATTCCATAATCTGCCATCATCTTCCCATCTTCCAGTCTCTTTCCATTGCAATTCACAATCTGGGTCTCAGGGGTTACACCCGTCTTGGTCTCGATCATTGCTTTCACTTGTGCCACTGAGCTGGACCTTCGCACCTGGAGGAGGTGCCTCTGCCCCTCATCACCTGACTCCACAAGATACAAGGGCAGCTCCTCATCACTGGGCTTCACCACTTTCAGGGTAAGGTGGATGGTCTTCTCCTTGTCAATGCCATAAGATGAGAGCCTTCTCCGTGGCTTTAGGATCTTGGAGCCCAGCAAAAGAACCTGGTCCTGCACAGGAACCTTGGTCTTAGACCGGACGTGTTCATTGATTTTTTTCACGCTGTCCTCTGGGTTGGCATCAAAGGTCATTGAATTCCATTCCTCAGAAAGAACGTGCACCTGGAAAGTGAAAGCCACAAGACAGTTGCCTAGGATGCCTGCCTCACTTTACATTTCTGCTCCCCATCACAATGGCTCCCACCCTTCTGCTATCTATCTGGTCTCCTAGCTCCTGTTCAGTAGCCAGTGTCCCTCTCTTTCTTGGAACTTCTCCTTTGGAATTACCAAGTTGCAACACAAATAAGAAAATTTGTCCCATTCCTTTATAATCACACCTTTTTTTCAATCTTGAGAATGAAAAATAAAATCCTGAGCCCCCAACCAATTGAACGGACCTTCTCTTGCTCAGGGGGACCCTAGAGAAATTTTAAGAACTTAGTCATTGGGCCAAGGGCAGTGGCTTATACCTGTAATCCAAGAACTTTGGGAAGCTGAGGCAAGCTGATCACTTGAGGCTGGGAGTTCGAGACCAGCCTGGCCAACTTGGTGAAACCTCATCTCTACTAAAAATACAAAAATTAACCAGGCGTGGTGGTGAGTCCCTGTAATCCCAGCTACTCAGGAGGCTGAGGCATGAGAATCATTTGAACCCAGAAGGCAGAGGTTGCAGTAAGTGGAGACGGCACCACTGCACTCCAGCTGGGGCAACAGAGTGAGACTCTGTCTCAAAAAGATAAATAAATAAAATACCTCAGTCATGATGAAACAGGAGGCTGGACATGCCTCATTATATCTTCTCCCTTTTGCAGTTTAGACACAATTGACTAGCAACGTTAGAGATTATAAGACTGAAAGAATGGATTATTGGTGGCAATAAGATTTTTGTAGCAAATTTTAAACAAGACCTAAGGCTATAATAGGCAAGAGTTAAGTCATGCATCCCTACACTTAAAAAATAAACTATGTTCTAACTGCCACAAAGTATTTTTCTTTTTTCTCTAGCAGCTAAACAAGCACTGGCCTCGAGAGGAACAATATTAAAACAATTACAGTTCATCCACAGGCTCACTGACCCCCTGTTCCTCAAGCCATAACTACAGTTTTAATTGGACAAATGACTGATTTCAGTAATTTTCTCCTGATAAGAGACCACTGACCATGGACTGGTTCTGGCTAGTTTACAGAAGCTGCACATTTGAATGCCTTTGTGTCCCTGCTTCACCTTTTCATATATAAGGCCTAACTGTAATGCAATTAAATGTTAAGTCTCCACCTCAGAGTGACCATGGGTGGTATATAACATGCAAGCTTATTCAACATGCATGCATTAGGACTCCCTTCATGAATATTCATTGCCTCTGCCATAACCTATTGGATATGTATACTTAGCAAACCCCTTCAGCATAAATTCCTGTGTCACTTTCCTCCTACAAAGCTTGCTTTTGGTTTTCAACCAGAAGCTGAGCTTCCCAGCTTGTCAGAATGGCTACCTTGCAGACTATAACCCTTCATAAGAAATGAAGTCTCCTTCCTAAATTTATAAATTGTGTGATTTTTTTTAGTTGACAATTTTTTATTTCGCTTTTCTGTGCATTTCAATAGATGTAAAAAACATACCCTTTATTCATCTCGAGATGTAATTAGATTTTCCACCTTATTTACCTGCCTCTCCTATCCAGATAAAGTTTGTCAAATGTCAAAAAGTAAATACAGAGCTTCAAAAGATGTACACCAGACTCTAAAAACAACTGTCAAAGAGAATTTCTAAAATATGACAGCCTCATAAGATACAGCAATAGGATACCCTCTGTCAATAGTTCAGAAGGAAATCCTGGGTAGGACACATAATCACTGAACTGTTATTTTTTTTTTCAAATCTCCCACTGCTTTATAATAATAACTCACATATTACAGTGACACTACGTTCAGTGTTTCTTGTTAATTTATATTTCTTGTGTTTTTATATTTACCTGATATAGAATATGATCTCCTTTGATTAGACCAGGGCCTCACTCACAGAAGGTAGGAACTATGTCTAAGTCTTACTTCAATAGCTGGAAAACCCTAAAAGACTGGAAAACTCACTCCTAATGGCCACTTGAAAGCCTGAGAAGACCTGCCTCATACTCCATTCAGAAATATTTTCCCAATCTAGATATTGCAGACATTTCTTCACTGGAGGATCTGTGTTAAGCATTGCCTTAATTCCAGGTTCTTTCCATAGTGCATATTTTCTTATATAATGTAATGTGTTAGATCATTAACAACTTCAGATAAATGAGTTTTGTGAAGCTCTCCTTTGAGAGAAAAGAGAAGATTAAGTTTAAGAACCCTAAAAAATGTTTCCGTAATTTCAAATCTCACCAGCCCTGTGGAACACAAAGCTCACCCCCACTTTTTTTTCTACCATTTATCCCTAAGAGTAGCTAGTCCAATGTTTGATTTAAAAAAGAACACAGAAGCCAGATAACCAGCTTCTCTTCAGACAATCCCTATTCTCATTCTGCAAATGTCAATGCCAGCCTCTTCCCCTTAAGGATGCCTGCCCAGCCATCCAGAGCCCTAAGTATTGTCCATCCCCCGTTTCTAAGATCTCTCCCCATCTCTTGAAAGTGCTTTTCCTTTCCCCATCCCCTTTATCAAATCCCAACTTACAGAGAGGCAGGAAGCATTGCGAGCCATCTTTGCAGTCAAGGGGCCAGAAACCAGAGACAGAAAAAGGATTTTGCATCCAGCTTATATACCAGCGTTGAATTGGAAATCCCCTCCTGGATTGCTGTGTTTGTCCAGCTTTGCTGTGCCCTTTGTTCTTGCATGCTCCCAGGAATTTTCTTTCACTTTTGCTGGGCAGGAGTTAATAAACAAAGAATGCTTTCTGATTACGTACTTCTCCCCTCAGGCAATCTATTTGCAATCCTCATTCCAAACGGGATGGTCTTTCTGTGTTGAAAACTTTTCCCTGATTAACAATCCACCTCTCCTCTCCCAGTCCTGACTTATTACTGTCCGTCCTGTGGCCTGGGCCCTCACTGGCGTGAAGACCTGTAATGCTTGCTGAACCTCTCATGCTGCCTTTAAGAGCACCCCATTACTCAGGGGCCGTCCTAAGAACGAGAGCACCCAGGCAGGATACGGCAGTCAGCATTGTGTGGAGTGCTGTGACTGTGAGCCTGACATGGCTAGTCTGGCAGAAGGTGTAAAATATGCCTTAAGAAGACATAGGAGAAATAACCTCAGACTGAGAGGAGATACAAGTTAGAGTCCCAGGAGGGCCACTTGCTACATTACCTTGGGCAAATCCATTCATCTCCTTAGATGTTGGTTTCCCCGTCTATAAAATGAGATGACTGGAAAAGATTCCTAAGTGTCTTCCAGGCTCAGAAAACTTTGCTTGTAAAATTCCCTTTGCAAAATAACATTGGATTTCTAGGTCTTGAGCTCTCCAACATACGTCCTACCCTGTCCCAGAACCTGCAAACCAAATCCACTACTTGAGAACAATCCTAAGCCAACAATTAAATGCCGACTCCTCACTTCAACACACACAGCAATCAACATCCACTCTCACACTGCGGGGCCTCTATTTCTCTACCTTTACTCCCGGATGCACCTCACCATTGTGATCTCAGACAAACCTAAAGGTGCCGCTCTCTCCCTCGCCCTTGAGACTTAGACGGAGACAAGAAAGGTGTGCCTGTCCCCGGGAAGTCTACTCCATCACTCTGATCCTCCTCGTATCCCAAATTAACTACTGCCCCCTCCCAAACTCTCAGGGCATTGCTATGGAACCAGTTTTTAAAAGCTTTTTTTTTTTGGAATGGAGTCTCACTTTGTTGCCCAGGCTGGAGTGCAATGGTGCGATCTCAGCTCACTGCAACCTCCGCATCCCGACTTCAAGTGATTCTCCTGCCTCAGCTTCCCGAGTAGCTGGGATAATAGGCACCTGCTAATTTTTGTATTTTTAGTAGAGACATGGTTTCACCATGCTGTCCAAGCTGGTCTCGAACTCCTGATCTCAGGCAACCTGCCCGCCTTGGCCTCCCAAAGTGCTGGGATTACAAATGTGAGACACCGTGTCCAGCCTAAAAGTATGTTTTCAAATGCTTCAAATCTTTTCAAAGTAGGAAGCTCTTTAAAATGCCAAGTTATCATCTCTGTTTGCAGAGGCATTTACTGTACCTTCACTCACTGACAGATCGCAAATGACCCCATCTTATTCTAGGAGGTTCTGTCCTGGAGAATCGAATTTACAGAAGTACTGGATTGATGTAGAGTAATGAAATGCAACAGCTCATTTCTCTACTTCAAAAGCTTACTATAAATCATGTTCTTCTATATGAAGCTTTTATTAGATAGCTAATAAAATTGAAAACATTAATTATTATTTAAATGTATTTTGTGGAGTAGACATAATTTTTAATACACAGGCAGGATAAATAAAAAGCAGAAGAGTGCCTAATGGAATACATTAGGAACCACTGGCCTCTGCTATTCTCCTTTCAGATCTTTCTCCAGGTCCCTGTGGCCCCTTTGTGTCTAGAAACTAATGTTCTGACCTTTGGCTGCTACACAGCAGATAAGGGCTGCCCTTCATCCGTTGTCCAATGGGATTTGGAGATTCTGAAACATTACCAGTGGCCAATGTCAGATCAGGTTCAGGGTGATCAGGAAACAGAAAGCCCTGCGGGATGGCAGGGGTGGGGGAAGTACCTGGAAAAAGAGAAAAGAAAAGCAGTTTACCAGACTTCAGTAAACTGCTCTCGCTTTTCAAACTTTGTTTGCACTCACCACTTTCTTAGATCTTCATGTTATTTCCAGGAAGACAAGAGGAAGAGAAGATGGTTAAAAGCTGCTTAAAATTAGGTCACTCTCTTCTCATACCCTTTCCCACTTTCCTTCTACCTCAGTACCTACACTATCTTGGTCCCAATGTCTGCACCAAGTATCAGGAGCAACAAGGAACCTTGGCCAGAGGCTGGCTCCAGGAGGAGAAGCCAGGATAACATTTCTTAGGAAAGATCTTTGTCTGTTGAAGCCACCCAGATCTATACCCACAGTCCCAACCTAAGCTGCAGATCTATATGTCTAGCTGTGTCTGTGTCTATGGGGATTTTCGTTCCTTGAATTTCCTGCATATCCTTGAACACCCCAATCTCTCTGCCATCTCCATGCCACTGAGCATGCCTTTTCCTCCAACTCTATCCCCACCGCCATGAATTTATAAGAACACACGGTGTAAACAGCATCTTCGTCAAAAAGCCTTCCCTAACTCTCTTCCTCCCCATCCTGGGTTATGTGCCCATCTTCTGTCCTCTACGCTTCCTTCAAATGCCTCCCAGACCGTGTTTCTTCAACAACAGCATCGTCTGCTTGTTTTTAATTTTTTTTTTTTTTTTTTTTTGAGACGGAGTCTCGCTCTGTCGCCCAGGCTGGAGTGCAGTGGCCGGATCTCAGCTCACTGCAAGCTCCGCCTCCCGGGTTCACGCCGTTCTCCGGCCTCAGCCTCCCGAGTAGCTGGGACTACAGGCGCCCGCCACCTCGCCCGGCTAGTTTTTGTGTGTGTGTGTGTATTTCTTAGTAGAGACGGGGTTTCACCGTGTTAGCCAGGACGGTCTCAATCTCCTGACCTCGTGATCCACCCGTCTCGGCCTCCCAAAGTGCTGAGATTACAGGCTTGAGCCACCACGCCCGGCCCTATTGTCTGTAATCTTTAGAAAACAGTAGGAATCTTGAGGGTCGTGATTGTGTCTTAATTAACTTGTATCTTTAGCCCTGCTCCAGCATGCTGTCTGGCACAGGAAATAATTTATAAATGTTTACTAAATGCACAAATGAATTAATAAATGAATGAAAAGTACATAAATAACAAAAAAGGAAAAGTAATATTTAGTGAGTACTTAAATTTCAAGAACTGAACAATTTATTATTAAATATTACCTTATTTACTGTTTCAGCATTTTAATGAAGTAAGTACAGGTGCTCCTTAACTTATGATGGGGTTACATCCCAGTAAACCCATTGTACACTGAAAATATCCAAAATCAGAAATGCATTTAATACACTTAAACCACCAAATATCATAGCTTAACCTAACCTGCCTTAAACATGCTCAGAACACTTACATTAGCATACAGTTGGACAAAATTATCTAACAAAAAGCCTATTTTCTATTGAAGTGTGAAATATCTCATTTAAGTTATTAAATACTGTACTGAAAGTGAAAAGCAGACTGATTTATGGGAACTTGAAGTAGGTTTCTACTGAATACATATTGCTTTGGCATCACTATTAAATAAAAAAATTGTAAGTGGAATCATTGTAAGGAACCACCTGTATTAGTATCCCTGTTAATAAGCAAGGAGCTACCTCATCCACAATCATATTAGTAGTAGCAGGTAAGCAAGGGTTCAAACGCTAATCTGTATTTCTATAGTCCTTGTATTCTTCCCATATTATTATATTCTTTCAGTGGGAAAAGGTGAGGAGAAAAGTGCTACTGGAGTTGGGTATTTCCAGCATGGGGTTACTGTGAGGGCAAATCTAATATACTCTCAGAAAAAACTAGTTCAGGGGATTTCCTACCCAGAGAGGACCTGGATTCCGGGAAATAGTGCCCTTTCAAGAAGACATATGAACAACAAATCTGAACTCTGACCTCTCTCTCTCTACTCTTCCCTTCCTATGAGAAATTCCCTCCCTGCCCAAAGCCAGGGCCAAGACTGTCCCAGACACCCTGGTGCCCCTTTACTGACCACAGGCAGGATTTCTTCTTGGGACCTGGCCTCCTTGCTTCTTACCCAGTGTCAATCTGACTTTTTTCTGTCTCTCTATGTTACAATAAGTTCTTTCAGAGACAGATCTCTTTTAATTTGCTGTATTAGTCTGTTTTGCATACTATAAAGGAGTACTTGAGACTGGGTAATTTATAAGGAAAAAAAGTTTAATTGGTTCATAGTTCCACCAACTGTACAAGAAGTATGGCACCAGCATCTGCTTCTGGTGAGGCCTCAAGAAGCTTCTACTCACGGTGGAAAGTGAAAGACAGCAGGCGTGTCACGTGGCGAGAGAGGGAGGTAAGAGACAGTGGGAAAAATGCCAGGCTCTTTTAAACAACCAGCTCTCATGTGAGCTAATGGAGTGAGAACTTATTCATTACAATGATGACAGCCCCAAGCCATTCATGAGGGATCTGCCACCACAAGCCAAACACCTCCCAGTAGGCCCATTTCCAACACTGGGGGCCACATTTCAACATGAGATCTGGAGAGTACAAACATCCAAACTACATCATTTACCCCTCTGACAAGTTCAGAAAACCAGCTAAAGTGTCAGAGGTGTTTGAACCAGAGCAACTCCATCTTGAATAGGGGCTGGGTAAAATAAGGCTGACACCTACTAGGCTGCATTCCCAGGAAGTTAGGCATTCTAAGTCACAGGATGAGAGAGGAGATCAGCACAAAGTACAGGTTATAAAGACCTTCCAAATAAAAGGAAGCAGTAAAGAAGCCAGCCAAAACCCACCAAAACCGAGATGGCAACGAAAGTGACCTCTGGTCATTCTCACTGCTCATTATATGCTAAATAAAACATTAACATGCTAAAAAATATTCCCACCAGGACATGACAGTTTACAGATGCCATGGCAATGTTCAGAAGTTACTCTGTATGGTCTGAAAAGAGGAGGAGCCCTCAGTTCCAGGAATTGCCCACTTTTTTCCTGGAAAACTCATGAATAAGCCATCCCTTGTTTAGTGTATAATCAAGAAATAACCATAAAAATAGTCAACCAGCAGCACTCAGGGTTGCTCTGC